ATGTGTTTGTAGGAAATAATATGAGCATTAAATTAGAAAAGTTTGAAGAAGATAAAAGAAAAACTTTTTGTTTTATAATGAATCCTTTACTTAACTTGGGAGCAGTTTTGCATGAGTAAAACAATCAAATTTAATAACTTTTCCCATTAATAGATAATACTTTTGTGAAAGTATAAGGCATACTAATTTGATTTACTGGCATTCTTCTTATATTCGATACTTCGTTACGGTGTCTCCTTGAGGATTACAAGGATCGCTATGTAGCCGAGCTCGTAAGTCTTCAGCTGCCGTTAAAATCCACTTCCGGTATAAGCTCACAAAACGAGACAGTATTCCTCGCTCTAACGAGTTTTCCACGTCCGTGAATAGTTATTCGTTGCCAAAGGATTTCTCGGTTTTACCATGACTCCATGTTGGGTTTCTGCCTTTAGGCGCCTACGAAGGTGGCTCTCGTAAGAGCGGAAACGATATCGACCCTGGTGGCAGGGCCACCAGGGTATTAATATCGACACGCGGTTTAACGCTCGTGAATCCAGATATTCGATCAATGCACCGTTACATCCTCGGAAATCCCTGTCTTATTTGATATCCTTGCAAACGCGTGCTTCTGTTAATACGATTTTAATGGAGTTCAACAAATATCTGAAACGCGTCTCTGACGAAATATACACATACGATTTTATTAACAAGGTAGCCACATAGAATAGGCAAAACACATCTGCTATTACTATTTGTTGTCTATATATCTATATCTGTTGGCTTTTCTATCGTAAGTTTTCTACATAAATATAAATGTTAAAGTTTTTGCGAAACGTTCTTATTTTCCATTTCCTTTCATTTTTTTTTTAAACATTATCAATAAACATTTTCGTTAGCTTATAGTGTTAATAATTACAATTTGTAAGTTGTTATTTATTTATTTAATTAAACTATGTAGTTGTAAAAGTTTATATAAGACTAATAAATATAAGAATTAGAAAGAGAATTTTTAAATCCTTAAAAACTTTATAAATATATCTATTCTGTTTTGTATACATATGTTTTAAAAATACCTCATATTACGCTTCATGATTATAGATTTACTAGAAAAAATTTCAGATTGCAGATAGTTTAATGTTTAAAGACAATGAATTTTTCTTTTAAACTAAATCGAAAACATTTTAGTTTAACTGACAATTTTTCTTCTTTTAATGAAATGTTTCCATGAAAATCAATGATTGTGGAAAAAAACTGGATGTGGTTCGCACATGGCGCACAGCTTGTTAAATTATGCAAGCGATAAAAGAACTTTTGGGACTGACAAGTCGTATCGCAATGTGGAATATGGTATGCACAAGAAGACGTTGAAGCGAAAGGCAATTTGGATTCAAAGACTGTGAAAAAGAGCTGAAAAGGCACTATCAAAGAGACGGAAAGGAATGAGGATCATTGATGCTCGTCTGGGCGGAGGGTTAAATAGTTCGAAGTCGCGCACGTAATCGAGACATCGAATTGCTAGCTTTGGCTAAATGGTGCGGTCGAAGGTCTAGGACACTCTATATAATCAACTTTGTGACAGTTTAATGATCGATGCATGCACACTCGTCCGGGTAATTAGTCACTCATGGATGTAATGTGAACATATTAGCAACATTCGATAGTATTATTAACAACATTAACGATAGATGATAGATATCATAATGTCGATATCATAATATCGTAATAAATATAGATAAAAAAAATAATTGATATTGATATTGATATTTATTTTTATTTTGTATAAAATAATACATACATAAAACATACATAAAACTCTTAATAAATTTTGACGATAAAAATTATTTTTTCCTTTATATTTTGTACGCAAATATGATAATCAATATTTCTTAGAAATACTCGTCATCATATTCGTCATCATAAATATTTTCATTTTATTTATCTTTTATTTTTATTGAATTGCCGATGATTAATTTTTTTGCCAATGCGCATAAAATTTTATTAGAAAAGCAAAAATAGAATACAGCAGGAAAAAAAGGAAAAGATTAAGGCTTAAATCAGCAAAAGAGATGCTGTTTATTGATATTTATTTAGCAGATTAAACAATCTTAAAGGTTAATGTAAAAACCTGCGATTATCATTAAATTGATAAAAATTAAATGTCTAAAAGATAATTTCATATTCACGCGTTTACAATTTCATTTATGACACATCTATTTTATAAAAAAAAAAAAAACAATTCTATATCGTTACTGTCGCATTATGACAATGAAATAATACCAACGGTTCAAGTACGTGTGAAAACGGTGCGGAAGATTGATCGAATTCGCAGCTTCCGACCACGAGACTTGGCACATATATGCGATCGCGCGCACGCGCAAGTGTGTGCGTGTGTGCTTTTTCATACAACAGCAATAAGCTCTTTGTGATCTTCCTGACTGCTATATGAATTACCAGCGAACGGAATTTCGTTGTTGTCACTCCGCTCTATGCACGCAGCCGATTCTCAAATCTGTCCGACCGAGCAACGACCTGTTCTACTGGCACACACTCTCTGTTCCATTCTGCAATCGACAGAAAAAAACAACGGAAAAGGGCATGCGAGAGGACGAATAAACAAAGGGAAATACAATTCCGAAGCTTGATTCATTCTGTCACGACTGCGTATATCCGGTGTCCCTTTTTCATTAACTTCACCAATTTACCTTGGCTCCTTTTTCCTTGCTTTTGTTTCTCAGCAAGTACGTATAATCGTAGTTTCGTCAAACTTTCAATGAACTTCACATTCCCATACGTTTCAAACAAGCTAATGTCTATCTAATCGATTTAATTCATTTCGGAAATACATATATCGAGGAACATAATTAACATAATAAATTGTTTATTATTTAAATTAGGAATATATATATATATATATATATATATATATATATATATATATATATTATATGCATGGCGCAGTGTGTGTATGATACAGTACGTCTATATACAATTTTACTTTATCGATTAGTAGGCTACTGATAACTTCCGCCACTTTTATTTTTGAAGGTAGATGATCATCTTTTCACGCTTTTAAAGAAGAAATGATTTAGCTGATCTCGCAGCTACTCTTAAAGAGTATAATTTTCGATTTTTCTGCTACGTCGAAAGAGCTTCTCGGATCACCCGGTCAGGATAGCCATTAAGGACTTTTTTCTCAGTTGTTCGTCGGAAGACACCTTCTCCTATAGTCCATCTTGGTCTCCATTCACAAGTATGCATAGCAGCAACGTAACACCGTTATCAGTGGTGAGAAGAGAGTGGAGAAGGGAGGAAGGTGTCCGTGGAGAGTGGTATGCCAGCGTGGAGGGTTCGGTATTTCCCCCTAACCTCCACCTGTATCACCCGGCATGGCCAAGCGACCCTTGGTGCTCACGCCTCCTACCCAATTGGGGATTCGATCGACGTCGAGAACTTTCAGCCGTGACCACGCAACCTCATGGTGGCGCCTCTGTCGCGCCCCGTAAACACGACGAGAAGCTGTTAGCAGCAATGGAGGGATGAACAGAGAAAGAGAGATAGATAGACAGAGGGGGAGGATATGGAAGGGGAGAATAGAAGTGGAGAAATCACCAGGGTGTATGTGTATGTCGCAGTCTCATCCCTGTGCTACTACCATCGTCAACCGTTACGGAGAGTCTGACCTGCGCGAAGAGAACCACTGCGTGACGACGCTGTGGCAGGATCTCAACACAAGGACATTCCGTAGATATGGTCTCCGGTCTCCTTGTCTTGACACTATATATGCGAAGAGAAACGCGCGATGATGTTCCTGAAAGCTGTATTGGAAGCAGCACGAAGGACACCGATGGCAATGTTAATGCAAATGTGTGAGGATGTCACAGCGTTTGTGGACGTCCCCACGTTTGCAAAGGTGTCGGTGGATATGACTGGTTGTTAGTAGTAGTAACGTGTGCTCTGTGACGCACACCAGTAGATCTCACTGATCGAGTACGTGATGGTCCATGATTTGGTAGGAGGTTGCAGCGCGGCACCGTGGCTATCTCTGTCTATATTCATAATACATCAACGTTTCGCGTGACGTCGATATCGGACTTCCTGTGTTATATCGGTGCGAGACACCGAACATGAGCTTGATAACGTAACAGCTTGAATAGTGATGATTTTCAATTGATATTGACGGCAAGATAATATATTACTCGAGATTTATTTCAAGCGATTAAAACTTATGTTAAAATTAATAGAAACATCTTTACAATCAAAACTTTCGCTAATGCATCTGCTCGCATCGTAATCAATTAATGATACCAGCAAAACTTTTGACTCATAATGGTAACTCTAAAAGTTTCTCCTACACACAAACCCTTCAAGATATTCATCTTTCATATACCTTTCGCTCGTACATGTTGAATTCGTTGGTGTAAGGACGTTTGCGACGCTCATGGGGAAGGATCTTTCTACATAGACACGGCTTCCAACACTATCTTCATCCTCTTCTGTCCTTTCTACCCTTGCTCCGTGCTAGTGTTGAGGCTTCTGCTGGCATTGAAGTCGTTGGTAGTGGTGGTAGACGAAAAGGGAGGTTGAGAGAGAATGCGTCGATGGAGGTGGATGACGTCGGCGACGTCGGCGGCGGCGGCGGCGGCGGCGGCGGCGGCGGCGGCGGCGG